CTCCTCCTGTATCCTTTATCCTTCGTAAGGATGTGGTGACGTTATGGTATTTGACGAATGGTTGCTATCCATTCCTCTCTCTCCTGGGCGCGGTGTGCTGCCTCAGACAGAGAGTAACCGGTAGCGCACTTTATTTGGTCCATCGGAGTGGCGATCTTCCTCGAGTTCTTTTACCATCTACCTTACCTTCAACCACCAATCGTAATGGATGATAATAGGTGGACTAAAAGAATTGTCCATTGCTTTTAGTAATAGAAGGCAACAAGATGGGTCGATGATTTACGACGTATACATACACACTGGATTTACAGGATAGGGATATATGGAAACAATCAAGGAAAGATTACGTTTAGCAGAGGACAAATTTATAAACTGGATATAAAGTCTTTTTGGAATAACACTGTTATTATCTAATCTCATACACATTCGTAAAATTGTAATAGATGTGAAATAGCTTAATCCCTAAATACCACTATATTCCGTTCACAAATTGTTGATAGCACAAAATGTGCCTCAAAGTCATAAAACGGTCGTAAAATTTGTATCATCATAGGCGTTCCTGAGGTGTTTATTCATTATCAATATTAATAATGTTTTAATACTAATATATTTAGCAAAAAACAATTAAAACTTTCAAGGCTAATGTTGGTTATTATATTATATTAATAAAAATAAGAATTTAACCATTAACAATTTTGTAAATAAGAATAACTTATCTCTTTGGATATTTCAATACTAATCTTCGCGTTTAATCACTTTACTAGAAACCCTGGAATTCATATCCGAAACTACTATTCGTTGCAAAATAATTAGGATGGAATTCCCCAGATTTTTAATAATATAATGGGTATAAAGATGCCGGCTTTGGCCACGTGCCTCGTCTGTTCAGTTTATTTTCGAAACTTAACTTGAAAGGGTGATGTTATTACAAACGAAAACAATTTTTTTGTTTAGTACGTTTTTGATCGCATGTAATTTACGGCTCGTCGGTGTTTCCGCATCTACGGCAGTAATTAGTGTCTCGAATATTTCTTTTGCGAATTATATGCAGTGCGTGAGTGATTTTTTATTCTACATACCTACTTATATGTACCTTTCGCTCGTGTTCGTTTTGTTGAATTGTTTGTGATAGCTTCATCATCAACATCATCAAGTTTTACACCGGTACTGTTGCGTACAATCAGTAAGTCTGTCTATTCACCAAGAGAGAAGACTATTGTCCTGAATGTTCACGATGCTCTGGTTTCTCAGAATCCCACAAACACTGTTCGCAACATAGTCGAAAGTTGCGCCAACATGACTGGCGTAGGGGAGTCAACTATACCGATATCGTCCTCTCTTCATAGCGATGACTTTTCAGTGTTCAATAGTCAATGACAAATGTGTTATTGTGTTTTAAGTTCAGACTACCTGAGTCACGAGTGGCAAGGACATTGTCCAGCGGACGTTGTTTCTGGAAGAAGAAGAAGGCGGAAGAAGTTGCGGAAACCTCAGCACGAAGATTTAGATCGCGCTATGCTACAGTGGTTCCAGCAGCAGCGTATTTTCTAGGCCTCTGGTCAGGACAAATGCTGAGTTTTTTGCATCTGAGCTTGGAATTGAGAATTTCAAGGCATCTAAGGGTTGGCTTAACAAGCAGAAGCTGCGGCACAAGATTAACTATGGACAAACCAGCGTAGAGGCTCGTACGATGAACAAAAACGTAACGGATAATTGGCTAAAAAAGTGTGGCCTGGACTGAAAGCACGATATGCGTCAGACGACATTTTCAATGCTAATGAGACTGGATTGTTTTTTCAAATGACACTAAACAGAACTTTAAAATTTGAATTAGAAAAGTGCGTCGGTGGAAAGCTCTCTAAGGAACGCATTACAATTTAAGTGACTGCTAACATGACAGGTTCGGTGAAGCAAAAATTGTTAGTGATAGGGAAGTCGAAAACCCACGTTGCTTTAAAAACATAAAAAGCTACCGGTGACTTATAAAGTAAACAAGAGTGCGTAGAAGACTTGAGGAAATTTTTAAAGAAGCGATAAGAAAGTGGGATATCGAGTTTAACGTAAAAAAATTCTTCTGCTAGTGGACAATTGTCTTGCTCATTCTGCACTGTGTGACCTTGCGACAATGTCGCAAAACATTGAACTTTGTTTTCTGCCAGCAAATACAACGAGCGTCCTTCAGCCCATGGACCAAAGTGTCATCAAGAGTTTGAAAAGTCACTACAGGAGAAGACTTTTAATGGAATTGGTTGAGAACAATGGCGATCTTAAACTAAACATTCTTGAAGTAATCCTAATGATTAGTAAATCCTGGAGCTAGGTGACGCGCAGTACAATAAAACATTCCTTCAAACACGCAGGATGGCTGGAAGATTAAGGATTGATTGATGATGAAAATAACCTCCATTAGATGTTTGGGCCAGACAGTTTAAACTTACTATCACCTACAGATCGGAAGAGCTAACAGATTTTGAAGAAGTTGATGAAAATGTAGCTACAACATCTGGACTCTCTGATGAGGACATCCTACAAGCAGTTGGTGTAGAAGAAGAAGAGAAGAGTGACCCGCAAGTGGAAGCAAAGCCAGACCCAGCTCCGACTCCTCAGTAGGCATTGGATGCGGCAAAAGTATTGCATCGATTCTTCATTCACCAGGAAGACGATATGCGTGATGTGGAAGATTCTATGCGTCTTCAGGACAAGGTTGGGTCAGTTCTGTGGAAAGAAAAAAGGAAACAGACCAAGGTGACCGACTTTCTTGGTAATGCAGGCTAAATATATTTGACAGCAGCATATTATTTTTTTTATTATACAGTATATGTTTAAATTGTACACTTATTTTTTATACTGTATTGCTTATATTATTCTTTAATAAATCTGTGGTGTACAATACAGTGTTAATTCATTTATATTCATTTTGCCAAATTTTTTAAATTAGAATATGTAGGTTATTTAGTACAATAATATTAATATTACAGCACCGAATTTTGTCTCTCTGTATAACGATCTCTCCTTATAACGATGAAAATATTATTATTCCCCTGCATATCGTTATAGAGAAAGAGAACTGTATATATATATATATATATATATATATATATATATATATATATATATATATATATATATATATATATATAGGCTCTATCAGTTCCTATCAGAAAGAAAAAAAAACACGGTATAGCTAACCCAAACACAAACGAACACTTAAAGAGAGGGAAAAAGCCTATTGAAATTGATGAATTTGCCAAAAATGGTATTCGAAGGAAAATTCATGGATTTTTTTTTCAAAAAAGAAGTACCAAAACAAAACAAAATTTTACAAGAAGTTAGAGACGACCCGGATTTGCCTCATATCGGACGAACTAAATTGTGGCAAGTTTTAAAAGAATTAAATTTCCGGTGGGAGAAATCAGACCGAAATCACTTTTGATTGAACGGGAGGAGATGTGTTGGAGAAGAAATTATCAAGATCCATACGAAAATTCTGGGCTGAAGGAAGGCCAATCTTCTACCAGGATGAAACGTGGGTAAACTCAGGTCATACTCTAAAAAAAATTTGATCAGATAAAAATATATTAAGCGCCAGGCAAGCCTTTATGGAAGGTTGGTCTACTGGTATCTCCCCACCTTCTGGTAAAGGCAGTAGATTAATAATTTCTCACAAAAGCAAAAAAGACTATTACGAGGAGATGACAGCTGATGTTTTCGAAGAGTAGTTTGAGCAGATGATTTAACACATACCACCAAATTCAATTATAGTATTAGATAATGGACCTTATCATGCACGACTAGTAGAAAGACTTCCAACGACTGCGTGGAAGAAACAGGATATTCTTGACTGGCTGCGGAATAAGTATCTGCCTTACGAAGATGGAATGGTAAAAGCAGAACTTTTAAAAATTGTCCGGCAACACAAATCTAAGTTCAAGAAATACGTAGTTGACAAAATGGCGGAAAGGCGAGACATCACAGTCCTTAGACTTCCACCCTACCACTGCAAAGGGGAAAGGCGCAAAATGTCGCCTGTCAAAATGTTCAATGTGTTTTAAATTTTTTTTTCAAATCCTGAGAAAACTAAAAAGCATTTTTGAAAAATTTAAAGGCAAAATGAAATATTTATTAAAATAAATAAAAAGTTTCTATTGCATGCAATATTTTCAATTACAAATTATATTACATTTTCTCTTTTATTATCACCCCTGTTGCATAACATATTAAAATAAACATTGTAGAAGTTTTCAGGGACTTTCCGCCCTCAGTAATAATGTAATCTTTCATTCTGCGTTTAAATTTTTCAAAATATTTATTAGTTTTCTCCGGATCCGAAAATAATGGATACATTTAAAACACATTAAAAATTTTACCCGGCGACATTTGGCGCATTTCCCCTTAATTAAATAAATGTATCTTTTACAAATGGCAAGAAACTTTTTATTTTTGAATAAAATAAAGAAGTTTTATTAAAACAAAAATACAGTTGTAAATGCATAAGAATGGCATACGATTTTGTAAATAGGAACTAAGATCACTACGACACTGGTCGGTCATCTGTAACCAAAATACCTTCGTAATCGGATTATAAGGTTGAGTGCTGTATTGTAATCCTTCAGATAAAAGGTGGGTTAGTCGAAAACATCTTAAACCGTCAGTTTCAGGTTGGTTTTTACTATTATATCGTATTACCTATCCTCTCTGTATTTCAGTTCTCTAATTAGGGTTAAACTTGTAGTGAGCTATCGACAAATTGTGAACAGATTATAGTCGTTTATGTTTGGTAGATTAAGTACCTTAGTGACTATTGTATGAATATTTTTGCTTACTGTTGGTGTCCGTTTCTGCAAACATTTAGTCATGAAAAATGGTATAACTTTCTGATCAATTATGTTACAGTCTTGATTATTAAATTCATTTTCTTTTCTTTCATGAATGAGACTTGCAATACATATAAACGGATTGAACCCACACAATAATTACCTATCCGTAACGAAGAATTATAAACGGTCAAAAATGTTTACTTTTTCGCTGTATCTTTACAAACCTTTCCAAATTATTTTTTACACTTGACTTCGTACTTTACTACATTTCATGATTCCTCTAAAGACAATGACATTAAATGCGTGAAAGCATGTTTTACTACAACGTTCGTATTCTCTACCAATATTACGTAAGCTCCTGATGGTATTACGTCGGTTTCTCCGTTTATTTCTTCAACAGGCTCGCCCGTTTCGGCATTCCAACATAAAATACCTTGATCATAAAAGGAGAGTAACAGTCCGTTATCGATGCACACACCTTTTAATCTAAAAAACAAAACATGGTTAATTTTTAAATAGGAATATTAGGAAAAAGCAATACATGAATAAACTCAAACAACAGAAGATTAACATATACACTGCGGTGCAAAACAAACATAAACGCAACAGGTTACTTAATATTTGCCAAAATGATAGGTGTAGTTATTAGGTCTTATCGTCCGGTATGATGTTTTGTTTTGTTTAATTTACCAAAAAGATTATATATATGGAAAGCACCTGGAGATAATCAAAACCTCATAATAAGAAACCAGATTGATTATATATTAACTGATAAGGGTTACAGAAATGGAATCAGGGCAGTTAAAACATATCCCGGGACCGACATTGGTTCCGACAACAATCCTGTTATCGGTAAAATCTCAATTAGACTGAAGAAAATCAAACTTGGAGAGAAGATAAATCTAGCCTCAAAAAAACTTGAAAAAAAAAGATCCAGCAGTACAGGCAGATATAGAGAAAATACTCAATGATACATTCAAGAAAAATTCAGTGAAGCACCCGCGGTAGCAGACGAATCAGTAGAAAGTATTTTTCACACCTTCAAAACAACAATCACAACTATACAAATCACAGACCACTAATAACTAGACGTTTCACGTAGGTAGCTCAAGGTCAAACTAAACTTAATGTCATTTGTAGTACCGATACTAATCTTCAGATGTCGCTTTACTCTGTCTCTACTTTTATTCTGCAGTTTAGGTTTAGAACACAACTGCCAATTGTCATATTAGCGTCTATATTTTGATTTTGTTAGTTTGTAAATTATAAATATATATATACTTAATCTAGGTTATAAATCACCTACCTCAGTGATCTATGTTTTAAATGTTCCTGGCGGTGTTCAAATAGTATTTTGCAGATTAATAATAATTAGTTAAATACGGTTTTTCACAATAAATGTTGTATCCTACAATGTACTAATTCCTCGTTAATTAGACATACCTTTCCAAATCCTGATAAAGACATTACACGATTTAGGAAGTGGCTTAGTGTTATAAATAATCCTAATTTAGATATGATGAATGCTAGTACAGTTTATAAAACAAAACGAATCTGCCACAGACACTTCGAAGATAAGTTTGTTTCTTCATGGAGTCATAAATTGTATAAAAATGCAATTCCTAGCTTACATTTGTATGGTGAGTCCAATAAATATTTGATATTAGAGAACAAATAACTGATTGATGATCGATTTTAGATTCTTCTTCTAATGTACATCCGAGAAGTATTTCAATGTTGAGTGGGGAAGCCATAGGAATGTACCAGTGATCCTATGTATGTACCAAATGAGGTCTCTCAAGCACTACACAATAATCTTTACACTGCCACTGTTTTTTGTGACTATGCCAAAGCTTTTGATTGTGTAAATCATGACATTTTGATAAAAAAAAAACAAAATTTCTATGGTATTTATTTGAATTGGTTACAATTTTACTTAGAGAATAGGAAATAACTAGTTAGAGCAAATGATACAGTTTCTAGTCACAAAAGTGTTGTACCACCATGTGGAGTACCACAAGGTTCAGTATTGGATATCTACTTTTCCTTATCTTTATAAATCACATCACCAACTTAAAACCGATGGAAACATTTTTATTTTTGCTGATGATACCAGTATTACCTGGAGAAACTCTAATATTGCAACTCTTCATGCAGCTATAACTTCTGATCTATTTAAAATAAAAACCTAATCAGACTCAAATTTACTCCCTTTTAACGTGGATAAGACAGTAGCATTATCCTATAAATCTCTTCAATCCTAGCTTCTTAATAATAACCAGATCAGTATAATTGATTCTGTAAAATTTCTTGGTATTTTTATAGTCAGCAATCTTAAATGGTCCCTTCATATTGATTTGTTCAGTAAGAAACTAGCCTCAGCCTGCTATGCAATAAGATCTGTTTTAAAGAAAATTTAGAATCTTCCAAAATAACATATTTGTCTTTGTTTGAGTCTCATCTTCGATATGGTCTTCATTTTTGGGGTTCTAGAACAGCTGCCCAATCTGACAGTTGTTTTTAAATTACAAACAAAAAAGAGCAATATGGTATCTTTTTGGTCTCGGTAGAATGACATATTGCAGAAAATACTTCAAAAATCACGAGATTTTAAGTCTTTCTTCTTTATATATTTTAGAAACTGATTGCTTAATTCGTAAACGCCTACATGTTTTTTCAGCAAGACCTAATCATGACTACTCCACCAGAAATTCAACCTTTAATGTGTATTTACTGATCCCGTCCACAGAGTTAGTAGAGAAATCTATATTATATTCAGTAAAAAGATTATATAACCATCTCCCTTTGCAACTTAAATCTGCAACTTCTTTCCTTGAGTTCCGTAAAAGAACAAAATCCTATCTATCTGAAAGATCATATTATTCAGTAGAAGAGTTTCTTAACGAATAGTGTTATGTACAAGTAACTAAACAATTTGTATAAATATATATTTGAGTATCACATGCAGAAACTTGTATTAAAATGTATTAGTTCGTAAGGATTTATTATGCAATTTATTTAAATTTTGCAATACATTGTGTATTTTATTATCTTTTATTTTGTGATATTGACGATTTATGTAATTTCAGTAAATTTTAAATTGCTATTTTTCTGACTTTTTTGTAAGCTTTTTCCATAAAATTGTACAATTTTCAGTGATAATAGCATATTTTTATTCTATATTAAATTACAAAGTTGTTTTACAAGTATTAAATAAATAAATAAATTACATTTTGTTTTATTTTTCCTAAATTGTATTGTGTATATTTGAAATTAAAAATGTCATGCATTTTTTTTTCAAATATACCAAATTATATTTAAATATTTTAAACTTTATTTAAATTTTCCCACCAAAATTAAAATTTGAATTTCCCGCGTAATTTCTCGCTTGAATTAGTTCCGATACTAATCTTATGGAGCGCTGAATTTCATATCCAACTAAAGTATTGTCGTGGAACATCTAGGGAGGTAGGTGATCTGTGATACAAATAGAACAACTACAACACAACACAAGAAAAACAAAGAATACATTAATGACAGAAGAAATCCAAGAACTGATGGACGTAAGATCTTACAAACACAACAATGAAGTAAAATATAAAGAAGCCCATCCGAAACAAAATAAGGAAAGCCAAAGAAGAATGGATCAACAGCAGATGTGAGGAACTGAGGGAATTACTTAAAAAGACAAGACTACTTAAATGCATACAAAAAGATTAAGGAAGTCACAAATATGAAAAAAACAAAAAATTCACTACAACAACTCTAGTAGATGATAACTACCAAATAGTATCTAGCCCAGAAAATGTAGGAACTATATGGGAAAAATACATCGAAGATCTGTTTTATGATGAGAGAACAGAACTACAAATAAATATAGTACAAGACACAATACTTGATATAATAACATCGGAAGTTACAAAAACAATCAATAACGCAAAGCAACGAAAGGCCTCAGGTCCATATGGGATATATGTAGAGATGATAAAACGTTGTACATCAACGTATATACAGAGAATGTGAAAGAAATCTGAGCGACATGCAATTTGGATTTCGTATGGGGATTGGTACGAAGAAGGCATTATTTGGCCTCCAGATATTACTACAAAAATGCCGAGATCAACGAAAAGACGTGTTTCTGTTTTATCGACTGCGAAAAAGCGAAAAACTTATAAAATATTACAAAAAACTGTACAAAATTTAAAAGTTATAAAAATTAAACAAAATTAAGTAAAATTAAATAAAATAAATACAATTATATCTATAAAATATAAAAACTAAAATTTATAAAAAAAAATTAAAAATTTTAAAAATTAAACAATATTACAAAAAATTATAAAAAGTTACAAAAATTACATATAAGTAAATAAAATTAAGTAAAATTAAATAAAATATATTTATAATCTTAAAAATTATAAAATGTATAAAAAATTATAAAAATTAAATAAAAGTAAGTAAAATTAAATGAAATTTAAAAAAATTAACCAAAATTAAGCAAAATTAAATAAAATTAAGTAAAATTAAATAAAATTATAAAAAATTATACATAGGTAATTAAAAGTCATACAGGCATACATTAAATAGTTATCAGAATCGGTTAATTAAAATTTTGTTCTATAACCGCCATTTTCAATAATTTCGTAATCCTGTCGAATAATTTCGTAACCAAATTCTTTTCAAATGCCACTTTTTGTTAAGAATTATTATTTTCCTATATTTTGTTCTTTATTTCATGTGAAATGCATCGGTTCTTTTTAAGAGAAAAATAACGAACTAGATATCATCACTTCCACTGTTATTTTTTTGACGATGCGGTTTTGCTGTTACTCATTGTATCCCTAATTTCAGTTTGGTAAGTGATCTTATCTACGGAAGACTTACCCAACTACCAACACCATACTTTTACATATAAAAATTGCACAAAAGCAATTAATCTTGTTGGAGATGGGCGTAGTTATGAATACGTTGTAAGTATCCCTCATGTTCACCGTTCTACCATCAAAAGGGTCTTTCTTCTTCGTGTGCCCCATTCCCTTAAGGACATGCGGCGTCTCCCCGGATTTTGTTTTTCTTAAACTTTCCCTTGTATAACCAATCGCATCAACTGATGTTCTTCATTTCTTAGTGTGTGACCAAAGTAGCTCATTTTTCTTTCCTTCATAGTGTTGGGTATTTCTTTTTTCATATTTCTTAATGTTTCCGTATTTGTTATATGTTGTGTCCATAATATTTCCAGATTCTGTGATAACACCATTTTACAAAGCTGGCAAGTCTTTTCCATTGCTTTGTCTTTCAGTTGCATCCGTACTTGTCTATTCTTCAACTCCATTTAAAAAGGCAGAGAATACGTAGTATCCCAATACTCTAGTAGTTAACAAAAAAAAGTTTACCACAAAGTATACCCACGGGTTTCCCCCTAAAAGCCCCCCTTCGAGGGGTAAAAACGCAAAACAATTGATTTACCAAGAATCAATACTGTTCTGAAGCTATTTTCTTGTGGCATTGTAAATTAATTATTTGTATTTTGTTTGTATTAATTGTTTGTATTTTGAGAACGATTTCCGAATTGGAAATTGAAACGTCAATAAACGTATTTTTATCTTTAATTGTGGCTTATTCCCAGTTATAAATAGTAATTAAGAATCAATACATCGTAGAAAAAATGTTTCAAATAAAAAACCTAGCTGAGATTATTTTAAACAAAAATGTCTATAAGCACTTTTTGTGTGTAATGAAACGTTCTCTTAGAAACATGGCTTGAAGCAACCATCGATTTCGAATGTCAGTTACGCGCGCGAAATCAATGTTCAATAAAATGTGTATTAGCTTGACAATAAAAATTCGATATCTTTTGATCCAAGTGTCCTATCGACAAAAATCAAGATGCGTTTTAAAGGTAAAGAGTGCAGCTTTCGTTTTCGTACTTTGCCGAGAATAAACTCAGTTTTTCTTTTTAAACATCCAAGAAGAATGTTTTGGGTGTAGTTTATAGCAAAAGTTTCATGCTTTTGAAAAACGTACTAATGCAATTGAAAAAAAAAGTTTTAAATGTTTTAGATTGTTTGTTATGTGAAAGTTTATGTGTCGTTTTTTGGTACTGAATGTATGTACACCTATTCTGTCCTTTTATTTATAGTCAAAAGTAATACATTGTACTGGAAATTACTTTAAAGATTTCTTAATTTGTTGAATAATAAATCAAGAAGTTTTGAATCTTCACCGCAGTGTACAAAGATATAGTATTCTTCGTATGTTCTAAAGACTCCTTTCGGTTTTTTCATTAATATATTTTTTACAAATATATCCACACCATACCTTTTTATTTTCTATGCCAACTGTCTCCGATGACCTTCCTCAAATGTTTTTTTTTTGCGTTCAATGTAAAAATCTTCATTTTATATTACTTTACAGCTCTTATATTTCCTATATTTTCACTATTTGTTGTTGATAATTTAATTTTTTTCTCCTGAGTGAAGTCGCATGCCTCGCAGTTCTGTAAGATATGGTTAACTGTTTGAGATTCTCTGCTACAGAGTTTGTAACTCAAGTCTCAATAAAACAGTCCCATTGTATACAGGTGTCCCTTAACTGGCGCGTATCCAGTAAGGGAGCTGACTTCTGCTTGTTTCCGTGGTACTTCAGCCTATTAGCACATGTCCGTCCAATACACTTCTTGCTATGTGTTTGATCGGGTGTATTTTCTCAATGTGGGTTTTTCGGTCGCGGACGATGATTTTTGGCACTCCAACGGCCGGTTCTGGACGGAAGTATTTTCTAGCTAGTGCTCTTTTAGCAAGTACATCAACTCTTTCATTATTATATATTCCCTGATCAGCTGGAATCCATACTCGTGTCACACAGTTATGTTCTGCCAGTCTATCGAGTTCGTGTCGGCATTGTCATACTACCCTAGAATCCACCTTAGGGCTTATGAGAACCCCCGTGGCTACTTGGCAATTTTTGCATATGTTGATCCGCTTCAGTTCGAAAGCCGTCTTGAATACTGCAAGATTGCAAAAATCTCTGCCTGAAATACAGAGGTATATTCTTCCAGTGGAATAGAGATGTTTAAATTTCCACCACTACCGAATATTCCTGTACCAGACCCGAGTGTTCCCTCTGCCCCATCCCTCTCGTGAGCAAATGTCTACTTGGAAGGATACTTCAGACTTGTATCTGGCTGCCATATGGTCAGAAATCATCATCCATTCGGCATCCCTAGATTCATTTATGATATTACTATGCCCTGCGGTATGTTGCTCAGATTTTTGTCGCAGTCTATAATACCCTATCCTCGCCTCTCCTCTTATAATTATATGTAAAAGAGAGAGATCCATAGAGTAAGGCCCACGTAACTACCGTTGGTGTATCCCTTATAACCCCTACGATTTCGAGGCAAGCAGATTTACTAGTTTTGAATCGTTTCGAGTTATAAATTTCTGCAAATATTTTATTTTCCTTGTTCTAGACCACGTTATTTCTTCAATATGCAGTTTTCTTAACCCCATTTTTACTATCTAGATCATTATTAACAAATATTTTTCATATTGTTGTTCATATTCTGTAGTTTAGGTCTGTTTATCATTATGTTACTCTTTATTAAATTTACAAGGTATGTAACTATCACCTAACTAAATGACTATTTTACTTTGATTTCGACCACTAAATGTTTCTTCCAAGAAATTTTTCATCGCCCTTTGAAGCTTATTTTAGTCACTTTTGTCAATTGATCTTACTTGGACAACAGTCCAGATCGATAGTTTCGGTTATCACCTAATTTATTGACGATTTCCCCCAATTGAGCCGTCTCCTCACTTATTCGAAATTTTCTGTTGTTAGCTTTCTAATTTCCTTAACGTTATATTCACGTTGTTCATCAAGTATCTTCTTAATATGTGCTCGAAAAACCCTTCCATCATCCTTTCTAGCTTCTAATTCTATGAATTACCACTTTCTTTTGGTCATCTTATAGTTCTTTTGCTACGACAAAATATACCATCTTCACCCTGCTTTGGTTTTCGAGTAATGTTGATCACTATACATAATTTTATTTGTTTGTTTGTTTCACTTTATGCGGTAAGGGATTCGTCGGATTTAATGCAACTACTGTATTTCCTATATTTTGAATATCGTTTTTCTCCTTTTCCTCTCCTTTTTCCAGACGAAGAGATTCGTTCGATTTAATTTCTCGAAGGATTACCTTCTCTCAATAAGTACTTACCCTAAACGAAGCCCTTTTTGTCTTGAATATATATCTAATATATCTTATCCATAGGATCTTGGTCCCCGCCACTAAAGTAGTTGCCTTAATTCACTTAACTCTAACCTAATACCAAGCTACTAGTTTGAAATTCTAATATTCACATACTTGATATGTCCGTTTAGCTGTAATAATCGTAATAGATTTCATTCATTGTTTACGAACGCCCAAATCACCTATTTGATATACACTGTCACTCGAGATTAGACCAGAAACAGGATTTGTTATCGCCAGTACTATGCCGTTAATAAATACGACAAAAATCATTAAACAAGTAAAATTCTCTTAATTCATTCATAACAAGATAAACACTTCTTTTGAATTCTTACCTATCGAATCCTTCTGGGGGGAAGTAGCTTGCCAATTTTTTCCACGAGTGATTGATACCATTGATAGCTACTAATCTTAATTCTCTATCCACGCATTGTTGTAGTGCAAAAAGAAAACCCTGAAATGAGTAAGGAAAAAAGTTAAAAAACAATCATCTTAATTTAACGTTTTTTTTGTAATAAGTATTCGTTTAAGAGCTCTAGCGATTTTAAAATGCAGTTACGTAAAATATTTAATGTATAATTTGAGTTGTTTTCATTCCAAATCCGTAAGTGTAATTTGCTAATAAGTTCTTAATACGCTGTAGCGAATTAAAGTTTGAAAACAATAATATTGTTGGATATACAACGAAGATACCCTTTGAATGATGTGTCATCAGATCCTACTTCCTATTTAATAATTTAGAGCTTGCAACCCTGCCTTATAGGGTTGTCAAAATTAGGGATGAAATTGTTTTTAAAAGCTGTAATTTTAAAGTCTAAAATTAACGTGTGTTTCGAGTGATATCTAAGATGGACTTTTTTTAAAATGCTCTATTATTAAAATAACGATCTTTTTTAAAGTAATGTTACTTGTTTACGAAAAAAAGGGCTGTCTAATAGCGGCCCGATCTAAGTAGCCTACGTTACTAGGTGTAAGCGAACGGACGAAGAGAATACTGCTAGGGTTCTAATCGCTGCCTGCCGTAATAGGCGAATAATGAGGTGGGATTAGAAGTGGCGAGCCATCAACCGAGTTGTCGAGACTAAAGAACCGCACGCAGAGCTCGATCTGCCTTACTTCACTGAATGTAAGTACAGTAACGTGGCCGTCGTTTGAGTTATTGGTACAATTTTAGTCGGTATGGCGACTGCTAGAAGCGAGATCATCGGTCTGCGCTGTTTAAGTTTTCGAGAGTCTCAGACCGAGACGAGCTCACGTGGGACTCTACCCTCATTTCACTAACCTCTTGCTGAGGACTACAAGTTCATATACGTCTAGTCCCAAGCTAGGCGTGGGACCTGCAGCACTTTGGACAAGAGTGGTATATACCGTAACTGTGCCATCTCTTATCAGAAGGTTAGCAGCCATCAGATATTCGAATCTTTAATGCCGCTGCTTTCAACACCCCAAAATATTTCAACTTTCTAACTTGATAGTGTTTAGGACTTTTTTGTTTTTTCATTTTCCAATATTATGTCGTTTCTAACTCTGTCCTCCTAGTGTAGGATTTCTGAACATTTTTCTGTAAATCCAAATTTCGAAATCCTCCAATTTATCGAAGACCTGATTCATGCACTCCATGCAACAGTACAGAGAATTCGTAACACCTCAAAAGTCTATCTCTTTACTCCGATCGACAAATCTCTGTTACATATATGCATTTTGGTAAATGCGTATCTTGCTTGTCCAATTCTTGATTTGTTTTCTTCTGTATAGTCGTTGTTGTCATTAATTATTGATCCGAAATATTTGTATTTTTGGACTTGTAGTATATATTCTTCGTGGATCATTAAGCCGGAGATACACATGCCTGTTACTAGCACAATGTCATACCAGCACCTAGCAAGCACCAGCTACTTTCCCCAAACTGCAAGTGTGTATGTTAACTAGCATGCTAGTTCCTGGCATCATAGCTAATCGCTAAGAATTTCATTTTTCTTGTTAGTAGCATGCTGTGAGATGCAAGGCGATTGCGTGGGGAGTGTCACTGGCATGTGTGAATGAGCGCTACTGCTACAGGCACGACAATAGGTTGTAGAGAATTGTCAGATTTGTTGTGTTGCTGACAAAAATGAATTGTTTTATTTTTAAACTTGTTAATTTAAAGAATGTTTCGTTGGGTGATGAAAAACCATCAAATTACAATGCTTACACAAAAATTCAAGAGGTAATGGGTGACGGTATTATAATAAATGAGATAAAGGCCAAAATAAAAAATTGCTCCAAGATTTTCTCGCCTACCAATCCAATTTCTCACCAAAATTTTTTTCTTATTTAAGTTCCGCTTCGGATTCATTATTAAATTTCTAAAAATATCTGTGGTCATCAACAATATTTGCTTGTTGAATTCGTTCCGAATACCTTCCATGGATCCCCCTTTTTTTTGTTGGAAACTCAAAAACTTTTAATGACAAAACAAGTACTTTACTTTTAGATGAAAATCTCTCGATTGTTTACTACCACTGGCATGTGTAAAAATTTACCCTGTTTTTTGCCTTGCCAGTATCGGCAAGCGAGTTTCTGGCAGGCCAATTACTAGCAAATGTATTTTGTGCTTACCAGTTACTGCCATATTTACTGGCATGTGTGTACCCGGCTTAAAGGTAGCTTGTTGTTGGTATGCTTTAGTGATCACTTATTGCAAATTGCATACCAATAATTACCATAGTCTGTTACCGGTTTGTACATTTATTTTTATTTTGTGATATGATGTAAAACTTATTACATTTTTTCTGAAAACTTTATTTTATATTTTAGTCTGATAAATATCCATATAGCGGCTAAACATCAAAAGGTAGTTAAGAAAACTACACATTTCCACAATCATTATGTTAATGGGCATAATAAACTTTAGACTTACCCTATCGCATTTTACCCATAAAGTAGATAACGGTGTTTTAATATCATTCAGTTCTATTGTGGCTATAATGTTACCGAACTGAATATTCCACAATGTAATTTTGTTTTCTCCACAGCCCATAATGAGATCATCGTAATCTAAAAAATATTTTTTTACAAATTTAAAAATATTTTAAAAAGGGTAAAAAAAGTTTTAAAAATATATATAAATATTATTAATTCACAGATTGAATAATATATCTTACAATTGATTAACAAACTCTGAGTATACACATGCATATAGCGCTATATTCTTATTTGAGAGAAATAAGAAGTGCGAGAGAGAAATTTTGAAAAGTAGTTCAGGTTCGGATTTTGACTTTGACGATTCTGTAAGTGATTGACATGACATTTTTGCCATGTTATCTATTCCTGTTGTAACTTCAACTTATAAACATAATAGTTTATAAAGTTAAAAAATGTAACTCAAAAATAATTTAACAACATTTAAAGGGTTTTTATCCATATATTCAAACATGTACATCCAGACAGCACTGATGATGGAATATTAATTCAGAAAAAGTTCTGTGATGTAGCCTGATAGGGTTTTTAATATTATACCTTTTATAAAGGAATTTTTAAATAAATTTTTTGTGATACATGGTACACAGCCAGCTATAGGAATTTAGTTGCCCTTTGAATAAAATAATAGTTCACGAAAAGGAGGTCAAAAAGAGATGGAAAAGTACTTTGACAGTTTATTAAATGAAGAATTTGACATAAATCCTGTTGAGTTAGCGGAGAAAGTAATAACAATGGTCATCAAAATAACAAACGCGGAAACTCTTCAAGCATGTCAAAAAATAAAAAAAGGAAAAGCAGTTGAACCAGGTGATATTCCTCGATAAATATGGATATCATTAGGAGAGAGAGGAACAAGTTAGCTAACAGGTTTATTTAATAGAAATATGGAAGTCGGACAAATTCCAGATGAATGGAGAAGCAGTATATTAATGCCTGTTTACAAAAACAATGGATATATACAGCAATGTACAAACTATAGGGTTATAGATAGAAATTTGAAAGACAGATCAACAACAGATGTAATTTTCATTATAAGGCAGTTGATACAAAAATACAGGAATAAAGAAACAAACGCTCAAATTATATTCATTGATCTTGAGAAAGCAGATGCTAGAGTTCCTCGAGAGAATCTGTGGTGGGCATTCAATAACAAAAGAGTCACCGATGAATATGTAAAGCTTGTGAAAGACATAGTGAAAGCGACTTAAATTAAAAACGGGTACAGTGGAGATAAATTCTTGAGAAAAAAGGTTTAAAACTTAGTAGGACAAAAACAGAGTATTTGGAATGTTCATTTAAAGATGGAATTATATCAATTAAAATGATATCTTTGGGTGGTAAAATCGTCTTCTTCTTCGGCTTTTCATTATGAGTTCGTCGTTAGTCCAGAGCACTGTATTTTTCCAGTCACCTTCTCCGAGGTCTGTATCATAGCATTTCTTATGTATGTTTTCCATATTGTAGCTTGTCTTTCTCTTCGTCTTATTCCAGTTTGTCCCAGTCCAATAATCTTTTCGGTCACCTGTGCTCTGGCATCCTCTGTACATGCCCATACCACTGCAGGGCTCTGTTTTCCAATTTTATTGTAATCCAACGTTCTACTTCCATTCTGTTCCATATTTCCTCTGTTCTTATTCTATCCGCTCTGGTGATTTGTAGACATAAAGTCCAGTTCAACTGTTCTTATTTTATTTCGTATTAATGTTGTCATTGGCCATACTTACGTTCCATATAGGGTAATATTCATTACTATGCTCTGAAAGATCTTTTTTTTTTTGTTTTCTTCGGAGGACCATGGTTCCTGCTTGTTGATCAAAATTATTTTAATATTAAATCTAGGTTTATTATCGGTAAATCTAACCAGACTACTATCCTGAAGTAGATTTGTCATCTATCCGGATCGTAGATGAGTATCTACATCTACTAGTAATGAGTAATATGCATAGATGGAGATGCATGCAGTATAATTAGGGTTGGATGGATGAAGTGGAAGGAAGCGAGTGGTGCGTTGTGTGACAGAGAAATTGCAATGAAGGTGAAGGGAAAATTCCATAAAATAGCCATAACACCAGCTATGATGCACGGAACTAAATGTTGGACAGTTAAAAACAAAGAGAAACAATGGATGCACGCGGCAAAAATGAGAATGCTTAGATGGATGAGTGGAGCGCTAAAAATGGTAAAATTAAGAATGAGTATAAAAGAGAAAGTCCAGGGGTGGCACCAACTGTTGCCAAAATGAGAGGGCCTAGGTTTAGATGGTTTGATCATATTCAACGTCGAGAGTTTAACTACCTACTACGAAGAATTGCTGATCTGCGGGTTCCTGGAAGGAGTAGGAGATTGAAAACCAAAGAAGAGCTGGTGAGGGGGGAGTGACGTTTAAGCAGGACATGTCGGTAAAGCAGGACATTGATATTGATATGACCCAAGATAGAAAATCATGGAGAAATGTAATTATGGAAGCCGACCTCGCATAGGGTCAAAGGCAAAGAATATTTAAAATCTCAAGTAGAGCTATCTCTTGGTTAATAAGGTGAAGTAAAAATCTGAGAATTGTGAAGGTACACGTGACCTAAAAACTTGGTTGTTTAAAAATGTATATTTATTTGTTGTAAACTCATTTAAATAAACTGAAATTACCTTCGACACTATGTAAAGAGGATACGTAATGGTCGACTGGTTCCATATCAAATATATTAGAAATCGTCTGATAATCAGAAGCAAGTTGATATGCATGAACAAATGTCTTTCTTGAATTCAAATTTTCTTCATTTGCTGAATGCCAGCTTACTATGATCTTGGGAAAATTTCGCATCACACAATATTGTACATCATCCGCAAAGCTAAAACATAAAAGATGAATATACATATGTAAGCCAGTTGATCAAATGTAACATTTTATTATTAATAAATGAAAAGCTTCCATAACTTTATCATTCTGTATATTGCATAAATTTGAAAGTTACTCATTATCAATCAAAATACTTTAGTTGGTCAGTTAATTGTATAAACAAATTTGTAGCAAATAATCTGAAATATCATTAATAAACTGGCACGAGACAATAATTATCATCATCAATGGCGTTACAACTCTTCGTGTGTCTTTGCCGCGTTTACTGTTGCCTTCCATGTTTGTCGGTCTTATCCCAATAGTTCCCATTGTCCCACTCCCATTTTCTCCATATCTTCTCACTGCATATTTCCATCTTTTTCTAGGTATTCCTACTAGTGTTGCCCAAAATTGGTCTTGGTCTTGTTCTTGCGTTTCTGCAAGACCGAGACCAAGACTGCCTAATTTTTGCAAGACCAAGACTAACCGTGCAAGAATTGAGCAAGAACAAGACTAAGCCTGCGAGACTCTTGCGTCTTGAAGTTAGGACTAAGTGTGGTTTTAGGAAGTATACTAGTTCGGGTGTATGCGTAGAGACTCTATGAGACGCAAAGAAGTATTAACAAAAATTTGGAAAATTTGACTTGTGCATTACGAAAAATACCCATAGACATACATAGCGAATCAAAACATTCATAACAAGAACACTTAAAATTTTTTATAGAGGTCATAATTACAATCTAAAAATAAAATATTTTGTACATTCTTTCCCAGCACACTACTTCTTCGCTCTGAAATTAATTGTCCAGATTTTGAGAATAGCCCTTTCTAATAATAAAATAATATCTTTGCTTTGCGACGCCAACAGTAATATCGTATCTTTTAAAAATGTGTCACCTTAGCTGATAAAAAATATAATTAGGTTAGCATATTTTTTTCGTTATAATTTAGTTACGAGGAATTTAAATACCACAAATCTTATCGGCCTAAGACTATAAACATCTTTTCTGCTGATAAACTGCTTATAAACATCTTTTCTGCTGAATATGTGATGATATTCAAAATTTACTTAAAGAATGCAGCTAATATTCAAAAGTAACGAGATAATGCCGATTACAGTGTAAACAAAATACCCATATTTAAAGTAACGAAGTAACGATAATAATTCTTGGTTTTTTATTCGGTACTTAGGGTAATGGATAGTAACGAGTATAAAGTAACGAGTAGCTACTTTTTCGACATCACTAAACTTCAATCTCAATCAAGCTTTCCTTCGAGTCTAATACAATAATTGTTTTTTATCTAATCCTTGTTGTTCTCGGTGATCAGTGAGAAGTTTACAATTTGACATGAGTGACGAATTTAACATGAGTGATTCAAATAGTTCTAGTCGGAGTAATGAGAGTTGGAGTCATAGATCTAAAAGACCTAAAAGCAAATTTGATAAGTTTTTCGAAATAAGTCATGCATCCCAAATTGCATTGTGTAAATTGTGCCAACATAGAAAGGTTGAAATAAAAATGAAGAACAGAAACACTTCAGGTTTAAGGAAGCATCTAATATCTTTCTACAAAAAGGAATCACAAATATAATATGTTCCTGAAAAACCAAAATCAGGTGGAGCCAATATTACAAGCTTTTTAATAACCGCGGGAAAAAGTGGACAGGTAAGAAAAAATATAGTTATCACACAATTACACACACACACACACATGTATATATATATATATATATATATATATATATATATATATATATACAGTGTGTCCGCAAAGTATGGAATAAATTCGATTATCCTGAAAAGAGGAAGTTTCAGTCTGCTTGTGAAGCAGCTGACGTGCCATCAAATCTGAATCCCATACTCTGATTGGATTTGGTTTAAAAGTGAGAACTGATATTAACATATTGTGCGCATCTGTCACCGAATTGAACGATTTTAACATCACAGATAGTGAATGGCAAATACTCGAAAAAGTACTAATAAAATTTAAACTTTTGTCAACGAAACTTGGTGGAGAAAAATATGTTACATTACCACTAGTGATTGTATCATTCAATCTCTTGCTCGATAAAATCGTACGAGGTAATTGTAACACTCCGATCCTCTCCGCTCCGAGGCCTACACTCCTAGATAGAAAACGAGAAAACTATTTAGTAACACATAACAACTCAAGGGATATGCAATTGCGTCCGTCGATTTTTGTTTTGCTTACGTACACCCGGTTCTTTTTTTATAACATAAACTCGATAAAAATACACTGACCATTATAAAGCGGCGCATTTGTATCGGTTTTTAATAAGGACTTGATGAAAGCAACCACTTGGAGTGGTTGCTTTGCACACGAAAACTTGATGAAATCGTTGCTTTCAAGTCCTCATAGACACACCGTCTCAGGACCAGCAACTTCACGTGGAGTCATACGTCGCCATGTTACCAAATCCACTGGTAAATTTAACATCATAATATTTAATAACACATAATGTAAACTAAATTTAAACAAACAATTTTTAACGGATTTTTACCTACATATTCAGTGGCTCAATAAATGTATACCCAGACACTGATGATGGAATATGGATTCTGAAAACGTTTTGTGATATAGCCCGATTGGGTTTTTTAAATTATATACCTTTTATAAAGGATTTTTAATAAAAATTTTTGATTTAATATATAGCTAGCTCATTATACTAATTATCCATTACCACGGTAGTAATGTTTTCTTGTGGTTGTATTTATTTCATCTATCTTCATCTCTATTTCACCATCACCTACTTCATCTACTCGGATATCTGTCAGTAATTATCAAATTAAAAATCTGTATCATGATTTACTTCTAAATAAAAAGTAAAATTTACTTACCCGTTAATATTCTCTAGTTGCAACACTCTCTTATCTAAACCATTTTGTCTTTGTTTCCAGTAATACAAAGTAATAAACACATCTGCCACGGGTCCTTGTCTCACTTCAGATTTATGCTCTTTCATCCACAATTCAATGTAAACTACACTTGTATCCAAACAAATAACTTTCTCCATTGAATCTTTCTGAATGCATCTATTAATAAGTGATATTCTTTGCGTCTGACCTCTTGGGATCCACATCTGCTGAGAACCTAGTACATTACCTAAAATAAAAGGTTTTAAACATATCTTCTTCTTCTTTCAAGTGCCTTGTCCGGTCTCCCGGACGTTGGCGATCACTATAGCAAGACTTGTTTTATTATTTTGTGCCATATGGAAAAGCTGTTCAGTACTTCTTATGGCTTCATCACGAATGTTTCGGAGCCATGATTGTTGTTCGTTTCCAATTCAACGTCGGCCTTCGATTTTACCCATAAATATCAGCTGTAGTAGGTGGTATTTTTCTCCACAAACTACAAGGCCATAAACCTACTTAGTCACACCATAACAATTTTACAACAGATGTAATTTTCACTATAAGGCCACTGATTGGAAAATATAGGAACAAAGAAATAAAAAATCATATTTATTGATCTTGAGAAACCATATTATGATACAGTTCCTTAAGAGATACTTATATAGTTATACAAAATATTAGAGGGAGCTTTCAAATAAGATTATTTGACATTAATATAGAAATAAATTATGTTCTTCAGTGAATAAGAGTATGCAACTAGATTGAGTTGAACGATATTCACTCTTCTCCTGGTAAGAAATAATTGTCAGGAACGTCACTTTACATCTTAGTAGCTTTGCTTTTATAACCATGCATTTTGTCTTATTTGGTTATGTTAAATTTGGCATATTAAATTTTCTGCCGGTTATATTAAATTGTAAATCATCTTCACTTTGAGAGAGTAGTATTGCGTCGTCTGCATAATAGAGATTATTTAAGTTGTTTTCTCACATTTGGTATCCTCTTTTAGTTCTTACTTTGTTATTTATTAACTATGTCACAGCTAAAACTTCACGTTCATGTGGACGAGGCTTGTTCAATTGAAACCCATCTTTGACCAAGAAAAAAAATATTGGCAAATATATCTACAAATAATTTCCACTACAATTAAGGCACATATCCCATTATTTTACCAACCGATGTATACGCTGCTTAAAGAATTCTTGTGACTATTGCTCTAAGAATTCTATTACGTCATTTTTTCCTTCTTCGTTCGACTAAAAACGATTGCCTTTTAACGCCTTTTTCAGAGGCCCAGAGACATGAAATCGCTAGGCGGTAGATCGGGACTGTAGGGTGGATGCTCTAATAACCTCTATTTCTTTCGTTGTAGATTTTTTTCCTACTTTGGTAAGATAAGGCCGAGCATTGTTGTGCAATGAGAATCACAACACATGAGAGTTTCCTGGACGTTTTTGTCTTATTGCTTAAGGGAACTCGTTTAAAGTTTCATTATACAGGTTTACGTTGATATGCATCCTAGATTCTGTAAACTCTATAAGCAAAGTCGAAAAAAAAAATGTTAACATGACCTTGAACTTTAAACTTCTTTTATTGACGAAAGAAAGTGACTACCGTTTTGCCTGTATTTCGTGAGATGTTGCAAAGGTAAATCAATACGCAAACTTTTTTTGGTTCTTAAATGGTTGTCCGCGGGTCCCTGGGGTTCCGTAGAAGGGGCGCAGGGGTTCCGCGTCCGTCCGACAGTTAAATAAAAAAATCGTAGAAAAGACTCATAACTACATCTAATTACAAGTTTTCGCTTAAACCCCGGTATGGTGCGCTGTAAACATCTTAAACCATTTGGTTGAATGGTAAGAGTAAGCGACCGGCTACCCACCCCTTGGAAACCAACACAACAGGAGAAGAAATTTTTGAAGTAATTGATAATTATATGACTAAACACCATATTGACTTGAACCAATGTATTGACGTGTGCAGCGACAAGGCTGCAGCTATGGTCGGCAAAATAAATGGAACTGTAAAAAGAATAAAGAATATTGCACACAATTGTAGTAGCAGTTACTAAATTAGCTTCTGGATAGAATGTGTGGAACAAAAAAATTACCAATGTTTTACTCTTTTAAATAACCTCCTGGAAAAGAATGAGTTAGGAGTAATCTTAGATGTGGAAAAAAACATAATTGAACATTTAATTACCCTCGAAAAATCCTTGAAAGATTATTTCCCGAAGAAGTTACAGGACATCGACTGGGTTCAGAATCCATTCACAAAACATACCAAACCATCGATGCTAACTATGCCAGAGTATGAGAATTTGAACGACATTAAGTGTTCATCCCTTCTGAAACAAAAATTCGAATCAGAAGATTTTAATCTAATGACTTTTGGATTGCACTTAAAGATGAATATCTCGTAATCGTTGAGAAAGCTATCATGGTTCTACTTCCTTTTGTGACGACTTACCGATGCGAGACTGGTTTTTCAGCTTACGCTTATACCAAAAACAAGTTAGAAATAGGCTGGATGCAGCTCCAGATCTTCGTATTCAATTGTCAGACATTAAGTCTAATTTTAATACTATTATAAGAAAATTGGTGAAAAAATTTCATTCTTCACATTGAAATAGTTATAATTACTTACTTAACTGTATTTATCTTTGTATAATAAATATTTTGTATTCCTTATACTATTTTTCATTCATACAGTCTTACATGAAAAATATTCAAACTATAAGGTAATTTCTATATTTATCAAAATAGGGTTCCGCCAGAAAAAAATACCGTCAATTTGAGTTCCGCCAAAAAATAGATCGTCAACAATTAGGGTTCCGAGACCAAAAAAAATTGGTAATCCCTGCTCTAGACGATACTATGGAAAGATCGTATACTCACATTTTCTGAAATTGCTCTGATTGAAATTGGGCGATGTTCTCTAATCAAGCCTTCCACACATATCACATTCCTATCTGTTAATACAGTTTTCAATGCACCTGGTCGCGGTTTATCATTCGTCTCCTCTTTTCAATTCTTAAATTTTCGACGCCATTCCTTGACAGTTGGATATGCAAAACATACGTTTCAATACACTGCTTGCTTCGCGTATAAATTTGGAAGGGTTGCAAATCTTTTTGGTTGCAGAACTATCAAAACTTACAAATCTGAGCGTTCTACTATATTTCTTACCGTATAATACTTTTTATATGATTAAAACATTTAGAATTGTTAATACTGATTATCAGTTTCTCCGGATTATGTTAAACATTTTTCAATAAAAAATAAATATATTGCATTAACGTTGTAAAAAAATTGCTTCGATTTTTTTATTAATTATTTTATTCTCTGAAGATAACAAAAATTATTTCTAAGTGGAAATATATTTCAACCGGAATCTAATTAGTTGATTATCTGCCAAAATTTAAACCTCTCTACAAACTAGAGGTGACGTTCTAGAAAATTGTTTCATACATGAATTAAAAAAAATCAACCAAACTACAGTATGTTCAACAAGTTACTTACCTAGTGGAGTTTGCATCCAAAATGAAACTAGGAACTCCTGACAGAGAACGAGATTATAGCCAACATAAAAAGCTTTTAACACTGACCCATTTTCCGAATTAATGGTAATAGTATGGGACTGTTTCTTCAACTTTTGTTTTGTACTGTTGATGTCCCATTCTTGACAGAGAGAAGAATTAGTAGTTAAACTATTCTTCTTTTTTGAACTAAATTGGAGACTTGTATGCAAAGACTTTATACATTCGGGTTTTTTGTACGGCATTAATTCATAATTATTGTTTTTGGTAATATTTTTAGTACTGATTTCTAAATAGTTGCCCTTTTCTACATTTGCAATAGGAACTGGTGTAAATAATGCTTCATTATCTGAGTTTTCGCCCTTATTACAAATTGCAGTAGAATAGTCGTGTTTCTGAAAAATGTATAATAATTTATTTGCTTTGTAAAACCAGTTAAAATCAAAATAAATGGAACAAATTATGAATCCTTCAGTAAACAGCAGCGGCCGACCAGGTGAAGTAGGTGAAGGTGGTTCACCAAAAAAATATAATTAAATTGAGACAAATAAATAAAAATAAAAGCAACATTATTATATCTAAATTCTGAAATCAATTATTTATTCTCTTTTTATTAATCTAAAAATTAAAAAAGACAACTAGCTTTAATAGCGGTAGGGTACTTGACGGTCAAGTCCTGACCTGTGTCACTAGTGTAGGATTCAGGAATAGGAGAATATCATTTACCTATTCCTGAATCCTACCTTCCAAGGAGAATATAAACGGGGCTCATCTATACATTAATGGGACGCAGATAGAGCGAGTAAAACAGTATTGCTACCTGGGAACTATTATAAACGAAGAGTGGAGCAATGTACAGGAAATAAAGTGCCGCATAGGAAAGGCAAGAACGGTCTTTAACAAAATGAGCGCCATCTTCAAAAGTCACAACATATCCCTAGATACAAAAATGAGACATTTGAGATGCCATGTTTGCTCTGTGTTGATGTACGGGGCGGAGGCATGGACGCTTACAGACACCACTATTAAAAAACTTGAAGCATTTGAGATGTGGCTTTATAGAAGAATGCTGAGAATATCATGGACAGCAAGGATCACGAACAAGGAAGTTCTAGGAAAAATGAAGAAGGAACCAGAGATTGTGTTTACGATCAAACGCATAAAATTGCAATATCTGGGACACGTTATGAGAAATCAGCACCGTTACTCCCTGCTGCTGTCTATATTGCAAGGTAATGTCAAAGGTAAGCGAGGACCCGGTAGAAGGAGAATATCATGGCTGCGGAATTTAAGAACATGGTTTAAGAAAACCTCAACGGAGCTGTTTCGAGCCGCAGCGAGCAAGGTTATGATTGCCAATATGATTTCCAACATCCGAAACGGATAGGAACCAGAAGAAGAATATCATTTTTGAAATGCGAAATCCATCTGCATAAGCGTTCATGGTTGCCATGGCATCATGACGTCAGCCAATCCTTAGTGATAGCTGAGAAAACTGGAGAGTGCAGTTCCGCCAAAAAATATATTATCCGTCTTCATCCACTGTTCGATGTGTATTTGGTATTACTATTTTTCGGAAATTTCTCTCAGCGATAATATTTTGAAATTTAGTCTATTATATAGATATTTTTTATATAGTATAGTGTATAGTATAGTATCTATTAGTTTAGTTTAGTCACAGTATTAAGTTTATTTATTTAGTGCACTTTATTAATACATTTCTCTGTGGTTTGTTTCGGATTTCGGATATAAAGTGTTCTCGTGGATTTCGTTTGGACAAAAATAATTTTAGACAGACATGAATCCAATTAATGACTTGGTGTGTAATATATTAGAGACTTCGTTTAGGCATTAGAAAAATAAAGATAAAAGGGATGTTCTTTTAACATGGTCGACCAACCTATATTTTAAACATCCGCGTCTGATCCAGAGTGGTCAACTGCAATCAGCATCTGAGCCAGAGTTGGCGGCTGAATCGAAACTCACCAACCCGTTTTAGCAGGCGTGGTGTTTTAATCGCCAAAAAACACTCAATGAAATGTCATGGTTCAGAACTAAAATAGCCCAGGCAAAGAGAACGAATCGTATCTAGTATAAGTGCCCTAAAAACTGTTTTCAAGATATTAGGGCCCTAAACTCTATACATTTTCTTAACGAATTTTTAATGAGATTTGGGCGCGAAGTAGGTACCAAAGCTCCTTTTGGCTCCGGCAAGCTTTCCTCATCTTCACCACTTTCTTAGGTCACGAGCCGCCGCTGTCAGTAAATGATAAAATATGGAAACTGGATCTCTAAGAGTCCAAAAGGTAAAACAAATAATAAATAAAATACAAATCACAATGCAGATCAATATACTGAATTTGGTTGTAAAAGTAATTAGAAGCAAAATATAAAGTTGTATGACACATGTACATGTGTAAAAATAATGAAACGACGATATCATAAGATGAATTACAGCGATATAATAAATGTAGTGCCATATAGTCCAATCGTCCAGGGTCCAGAGTTGACCCCTAAAATCATACGAACAAGCTGAATTTTACCGAGCATTTTATGTTAATCTTAAAAAGATGCAAAAAAGTTTACCACTTTTACCCCCTAGCTTCTCCTAAAAGCCCTCTCGTAGGACCAGCCGTAGTAAAATTTTCATTTTCAGGCATCAGTGTTTAGAACCTATGACATGAAATTTCAAATTTTTGAAATTTCCTCCCTAACTATAGCCATAGCTCCCAGCTTGTCCACGGGCCAGTACGCATGCTCTGTCTGGAGTAGGTCGAATAGCAACAGGGTGCCTGAAAGCAACGCCACTAAAAAAATTATATCGATGTGCACCAATCTACCAACCGGATCTACGAAGACGAACCATGGACTACATCGAGCTCTTCAAACAGTCAGTTGACGACAGACACGTGATTTTCGGCACGGAAGAGCACACCTGCGGTTGAAATTCAGGAGGAAAAATTTTCTCAGCGGCGTTCCGTGGAACCTCCAGCCTAGTATTCTCCGAAACCAAACACACTGACTGGTTTGAACTGCGACTGAAGGACATGGGCAAGACGGAACCGAATGAGATCAGGCGTAGCCGCTGTGAAGACCAATAGAGAAATATGAAGAAATAATCTATAATATAAAGTAGGAAAAATTGTATACTGATGGATAGAATGAAAAAATTTGAAGAGGAAAATATAAATGATAGAATAGTCTGATGAGCAATTTTGAACATGTTTAAAAAAATATTATCAATTCTAAATAACTAAAACATACCTTTTTAATAAGAACAAAAATATCACTCAAAATCTAACATGTACCAATAAAGATAAACTTCTCAAACCAAATTATCAGACAGAGATTTGAATCTTTATTATTTAACTATCAAATTTCAAGCCTTATCTAAAGATTTGAATATTTGATTTCAATTCTAGTGACAACAGATAATATGTTACTGACAAACCTTTTGTGTGCATATAAATATATTTAATCTTACCTGTGTAGATTGACTATTTGGTGGTTCCGAGTCTTGTGATGAATCACTTATTTCTGCTGTATCGCCCGAAGTATCAATATTTACAATAAAATAAGTATTTCCATTATTAGAAGCATTAGTTTCTTGTCGTTCTATTTTATCTCGTTTTCCACCAACATCCTGGATTTCTTTTAGCTTCTCCGTAGATTCTTTTACTTCATCAGATAATGAAACAGTTTGTTTGTACTTTTCACACATATTACTAACCTCCTGGGTGTCTTTTTTTGTAAAACCATATAACGGAGCCACAGTAAAATTGTACGATTCAGAAACATGGTTTTTATTAGTAGTTACAGTTTTGGTACATAGAATTCGACTCTCAATCAAGCATCTTTTATATTCATCACTCAAAAGTTCAAAATCTGGTATGTCTTCTAACATTTGATCAATAGTTATTTGATCTTCATCTAAACCAGGATCAACAGAAATTATTTCACAGTGTGAACCTATTGATTTGGGAGATGTGATCTGAGGAATAGATGAACTTATAGATATTGGTGTATAATTCAATGCGGATCTATTAGATGATGCAGGGACAGATTTTGCTCTTCTATTTTTTATACTAGACCCCCTTTGACTTTTTTCTACTAAGTTTCTTATAGGAACATGTTTCAAATTATCATTACTTCGTAAATTTTTCAAGCTAGCTCTGCTTCTTGTTTTAACCAGGGATTTAAATTTGGATTTTGTAATTTTTTTGTGTACAACTTTTTTAGCATGAGCTTTCCTACTAATTACCGTATTACAATCTTTCTTTTGTTTCAAAACATTAGATTCTTTTGTTTGTATTTGTAACTTTTGCATATATGAAAGATTGTTTTCTTCACAACACTTTTTAAACTTTGGTATCAGATCTGACATCACATTATCAAAATCAATAACAGTAGTTGATAATTTTTTGGAAGGAAAAGGAAATGAAAACTCCTTTGAATTTGAAATATTGTTAAATTCAAGTTCATTGGATGATTTTGGTGTTGTAGGCTTTTGTACTGTTTCAATCTTCTCTCTATCTCCATCATTTACTTCCTTAAATCGCTCCTGAAAGTACTGTTTTTGTTCTACTAAATTTCTAACTCTTGAAGATCTTCGATTCTGCAGGATTAATATCTCTTTTTTATCAGCGGGGTTCATCAATTGTAAATAATGACAAAGTTCCTTCTTTTGGCTTTCTGGACTTAAAGGGATTTCATCAGTGATTTCAGATTTATTCTCACTAGTGTAGGAATTATCACTCGTTAATACGTTACTGTAACCAAAAAATAAAAATTACATGTATACACTGATACTTGGACAAACATCATAAATAACAAATAAATTATTAAGACATGTTGACAAACATAAGGGATTGTTACAAACTTGTAATAGACAATTATTACTAGAAAAAACACATGCGCCCCCGCACACGTACACACTCATACATTCCAACATAAAAAGGCAGACACATCACATTCTAAAAAAACAAGTTTGTGTAAGACACTATATCTGCAAATCAATAATTTACAAAAACAGATATAATTTTTAATGGTTCATAATGATTATATCGTTCATTTGAAAGAAGAGGGTTACATCTAAGAATTTTCACTTTTTCAGTAGAGAGGTTTTAAAATTACTATTAATTTATTTGGCGAAACTGGTCGTTCCGTCAAAACTCGGATTTAAGAGCATCAAAGATGCATTCGATCAGGTCTTTTCTCCCATTCTGCAGTTGCAGAACACTGCCAAGAAACCGGTCATTCTATATTGTTCTATAGATCCGAAAAAATCCACATAATATCAATCGAGAGGAAGGATACTACTTGTCTCCCATCTGGAATCTCAGTCTAGAGCCGCCGTCCGGTCCCGCTACCACGATGCAGCTACATGATTGACCAGCGCGCGCTTCTTGACGTTCGCGCCACGGAGTGTGCCGATACGTCCCGACACGACAGGTCACCGCGACTATAAATAGAGCGGTAGCGGAGTAATCGTCGGATTCACTCCCCGCCTCTCGACGCGTTAGTGTTCTGAGCTGTTGGACGTGAATCCCTGTCCTGGCATTTGGTTTTCACCTCTGGCTGCGTTAAGTAGTTGAGTTACTGTGACCAAATGCCCATCTTGGTAGTTAGTATTCGCCTCTGGTTGCGTTGAGTAACTGAGTTACCGTTGCTAACTACTCATCTTCCTGTCTTTTGTTTTCTTTTTCTTTGTTCTCCTGAAGAAGCTACATACAATTGTAGCGAAACGTCGAGATGAACCCACCTTTGGGTCACTCACAAATGACACGGTCCAAACCCGGAAATAAAAGAAATAAAGTCCAGAAGACTCCAATGGGCAGGACACCTCAGAAGACATTCTGACGAACGAACAGTAAGACTGGTGTGGGAGGAAGTCCCAACTGGAAGGAGACCACGCGGACGCCCTCGTCTCCGGTGGCGAGATAATATAGCAGGAGACCTAAGCACTATGGGCGTGGAGAATTGGATGGAGGTTGCTCAAGATAGAAAACAGTGGAGGCATGTTGTCGAGTCGGCTAAAACCCACGAAGGGTTGTAACGCCACGGAGTAAGTAAGTAAACCCGGAAGACGAATAAACTATAATTCTGACTCTGGCCGTGGAAGCCTACGATTTCATTTAATTTATTTCATTTATATTGTGCAGTATTTATTGATATTATAGGATTTAATGATTAAGTATGATAGATTTCTGATCTTTTAATCGCTCTGACAAATTGTCTTTTCAAGATATCAGGTTTAGAAAAAAAAACTTAGATATAACCCTCTTGAATAAAGAAATATCATCTTTTTAAGAAATCGGTTTTGCTCATAAAGTTACATTTTAGAAATTGTATTGGTAAAGTATTATTAAAAATGCCATTAGATCAATATTATTTAATAAAAATGGTTAATAAAACATAAAAAAACTACTTAACTAGTTCGTATCCATTACACAACACAATATGAAAGCAATAATAATAACGATTGTTTTTCTTTACAAATTTTTATAAAAACTTAAATAGTATTCAGGAACACATCGCTTTTTTTTTATTAAAGACAAGAGTCCATTTTTCTAAGCTTCAGTGATTCCCACTTTTTTTGTAAAAGCTTTCTTTAAAGCAATATTATTGATATTAATTTCAAGCCTAGAACGAACAATTTCCACTTGATCATATTCTGCTTGATTAAAAGATGATTTATAATAAAGAATAGTAGGATTGTTGCGATCTAACATCAAGATCCTCACATCAGATATTTTAAAATTTTTGGAAATAGTAAGGTGTAAATCTGCAGACAAAGCTTTAAGATCAAACACGTCATTAAAACCCATTTCATGTACTTTAGATGGACTTCCAGTTTTTTAGCTGTCCGTATAATGCACCTATATTGGTCAGTTATTATCCAACAAGCGAGAGCTGGCGGGTTGCGCGTAGGACAAATTGAAAAGTGAAAGGAAAGGATTGCTCATTTCTATTGCAGTCGGCTAGGAGTTCACATCGTGTAATTAGTGCTAGATTTCTGACAGTGTTGTCAAGTATTTACATTTTTATTTGGAGCGGCCCTATATTATAAACTATTATTTATATTTATTAAAATGGCAAGTGTATTAAAAGGCAAAGCTTTGGAATCTCAAGCACGAGAAATAATTTTCAATGTTTGTAAGTTTACAACCGAATGGTTGTAATGTGGTTTATAATGCAGTGGTTTATAATGCAGATAAAGTCTTAGTTGATTTAAAAAAGATACAAGAACGTTTAGCTCAATTAACTAGTAACTAGCGGACCAACTCGACATCGAGTTTTGATGTAAGTTTTGCTGATATTTAAGAGGGGCGAAGTCTAACGATCCATCGTTTCCGTCGCCTCGTGTAAATGTTCCAAAAATCCTAAAAATAAACTGTATCGACGCCAATTTTTTTAAATTGAAAATCGATACAGTAGTTTTTTTAGGATTTTCAGGAAGATTTACATTAGGAAACGGAAACAATATGATTGTTAGACTCCGCCCCTCTTAAATAAAAAACGGAAGTAAAACCGGAAGTAACTTTTTTTTTGCTAATTTTAGATTGTAAAATGCCACGTTTAAGAAAAAGAACTCGGTTTAAAAACTCGTGGCCCCGTCCATATGCTCTTGAACGCCGTGAAAGAAACCATAATTTTCAAAACTAAATCCGGAAGTAGGAAAGTAAATACTTCCGGTTTCATAATTCTGAATTCAATCAGTAAGTATAAGAAAAAAGTATACGCGGTCATATTTTAAAAATACATTGAAAATTAGGACTGTAAATTTTGAAGAATGAAACCTGTAAAATTCCTATACTTTACTATAGGAAAAATTCATTTTATGGCCGCCATTTTTAAACCGGTTCGAATTTTTTAAATTTGAAACCTTAGGGGGAATCTACTCAACAATCTGTTTAATTATTCGAAAAATTATTCTCCTATCTATCACCGTTTAGGAGGAGTATTGCGCACAAGAAAAGAGCTTAGCCTTTTACTATATAAGACTATAATACTCATTTTCAAAATAAATTCAGATTTAAATAATTTAATTTAAGTTAAAATCAATAAAATTGTAATCAATAAATAAATAAAAACTTACAGAACAAAAAAATAGCAGTAAATAGTAAGTAATCAATGGATCAGTTAATTATAACTTTACAGTTCACTATTATTGATAATACACCATGTTTATTTACTACAGATATGCTTAGGGGATAAAGGGGTAGAATGCTAATATATGGAGTTGATTCCAGTTTACTCCAATTAGCCTCTTCTACTCAAATCCGACTCTCACCTTCACGATGGTGTCCCCTGTTAACCGAGCAACCCAGCTGGAGATCCGGTATCCAACCCCGGGTGGAAAGTTGGGTCGGGAACTGACGAGAGCGGGTGAAATGGCCCTCCGAAAAGGGGGTTTGGCGTTGGGTTAACTACCCAACCCTGTAAAAACCCATAGTTACGAAATCTAAAGTTAAAAATGCTGGACGGAAATCTCGACGACGACCTATGCAATGAAATAAGGACAACGATCTTAAAGTATTTACCTGGAATGTTCGCACACTCAACAAACCTGGAAACATCCGAAAACTGTGTGACATATTAGCACAATATAACGCTGACATTACTACAATACAAGAAGAACGATGGATAGGCCATGGCATAATCGAAAAAACAAACTACAATATATACTACAGTTGCCATAGAACTAGACATGAATTTGGGACAGCCTTTATAGTCAGTAATAAAGTCAAGCATTTGGTTATAGATTTTAAGCCAATAAATCCAGAATGAGCTGCTTAAAGATCAGGGGTAAGTTTTTTAATATTAGTCTTATTAATGTACATGCCCCAACAGAGGACAAGGAAGACGAAGAAAAGGACAATTTCTATGAGGAATTAGAAAGAACATATGACAGTTGTCCCAGAAATGACATTAAAATAGTAATCGGTGATTACTATTTTAATGCTGGCTGAACGCAAAAATCGGAAGGGAAGAAATATATCTACGCACATCGGTAGATATAGTCTCCATAATGATACAAATTCGAATGGACACCGAGCAGTCACCTTCGCAGCCGCAAAGAACATGGTCGTAGGAAGCACATTTTTTCTAGACAAAAAATCACATATGTGGACTTGGACCTCACCTGATGGACTAACGAACAACCAAATTGATCATGTGATCATAGATGCTAGACACTTCTCAAACCTAATGGATGTCCGCACCTATCGAGGCGCCAATATTGATTCAGATCACTTTCTAGTTGGCACACGAATTCGAGCTAGAATCTCAAATGCGAAGAAGGAGAGAAGTACCAAAACAACGTGTCTCAATATTGAAATCCTCAAAAATCCGCAAACAGTAGAAAGGTTTCAAAACTATATCGAAACTTAACACATAATTCATGAGGACCTAACAATTAGTGAACAATGGGAAATGTGTAAAAATAATATTAAAGAGGCAGCAAATATTATTCTAGGGCCAGAAAGACCACCACCACGTAATGACTGGTTTGATGCTGTGTGAGGACATTACAAGAAGAAAGAACGATGCATATAAACTGATGCAGCAAAGAAGAACCCGAGAAAAACAGCAAAAATCTAAAGATGTCAGAAAAGAAGAGAAGTGCATTCATAGAAGGAAAAAGCAACTCACGAAAATAGAATATTGGAAGAACTTGAGGTATTAAAAAAGGAAAACCAAACAAGAAAATTCTACAAAACTCTGAATAACGCAAGAAAGGAATTCAAACCAAGGCTCAGACTATGTA